AGATTCCTGTTGATTCTCAAGTGCCTGCATTTCGAGAATAATGCAAATGAGGACAGACACGACACACTGTGGAAGGTATGGAAGGTGTTCAGTGACATGAGAGGCAAGTTCTGCGAATATTTTGTACCTGCACAGAATGTGGTAATCGATGAATCGCTTGTACTGTTCACAGGGCGCTTGGCATTCAAGCAGTACTTCCCATCAAAGCGCCACCGATTTGGGCTCAAGTTTTTTGTACTGTGCGATGGCGAGACTGTTAACGTCATGGACATGATTCTGTATTCTGGTACAGACATCGACATACCAGCTCAAGATGAACACGGGTTCTCCGTCAGTGTCGTAAAAACCCTGATGGAACCGTTGCTGAACAAGTAGCATATACTGTTCACAGACACCTATTACACCAGCCCCTTGTTGACCAGATATCTCCTTGCCCACAACACTGGCGTATGTGGCACTGTAAGGGCCCACAGGAAGGAAATGCCAGCGTTTGGCATAGGTATAGCAGTGGGTGATTGCCAGCTGCACAAGTGTGATAATATGCTCTTAGTGTGGTGGAGGGACAGACGCAAGGTGAATATGCCGACTACGATTCACACCGGTGCCGTGTTGGACAGTGGCAAAGTCTACTTTCAAATGTGCTTCCCCATATATATACCTGACTGTGTCATAGACTACAACGTGAACATGCGCCTCATAGATAAATGTGACATGATGCTTGGTGCAGTGGAGTGCGTGCGGTAGTCTGTGAAGTGGATGAAAAAGTTCTTTTTCCACAACAGATGTTGCAGTGCTCAACTGCTTCAATTTGTACCTGGTAAAATCTGGCAGGAGACCACCAATACGGACATTCAATGTTGCTGTTGTGTCACAACTGCTCGTAAAGTATGGCAAGAAGGGCTTTGTTGCTATGTGCGGGGTGCAAGCAACAATGCCACATGCAGCTCCAGACAGACTGAGGGGAAATGAGATGTTCGATGTCCACATGCTCGAGTATATGCCAGGCACAGCATCACGAGATAAGAGTAAAAGTGCCTGCATAGTATGCAAGAACACTACCCGAAGAGAACAAAAGCGAAGATGCATCAGCAACTGGTGTGTGTGGAGTGCAAGGTTCCACTATGCCCCGTTGGCTGTTTTGCAGCATATCACACACTCGTGGAGTTCTGAGTGTGTTTATGGTGTATATAGTGTGTGATACTGTACAGAATGTAAATAGATTATAAATATACATAAATTAGCATGATACATTGGAAATATGTGCAAGATGTGTGTGTATATGTGTCATGCACGTACCAGTGTCTTCAAACAGTACGGATGTTTTACTGCCATAATATAATGTACATGTTCATTATACATAGGATTGGCACAAAAAAAAAGTATTTGGAACAGTGCGCAAAAAATGAACAAAAATTATATTCGTGGCAACTCTCGCATCTTGAGCCAGGCGCCCTACTGGCCCCAGGAGCATACGCCACGGGCGACCAGGGGAATGATGATGTGACGCGCAAACTTATGGACCCCATTGCGGCCAATTTTGAGTTTTTGTTAACATACCCATACTCAGGGAAGGGTTTCTGACACAAAAAAAAAAAAAAAAAAAAAAAAAAAATCCAGAGAATTTATTTCCTGCGCACAGGAGGGGGGGGGGGGTGCCGTATTTGGAAGGCGAGCAGCACAGTGGTTAATTTTTTTTTCTAAAAATGAGCCCCACGACTAAAAACGGCCATAATACGGACGGGATACCGAGCGCTGGATTCTAGGGAGCCTGACAAGTATACAGGGCAAGGTTGCTAGGCATAAAATCAGTGCAATAATAAAATAATTAAAGCAAGCCAATGACTACAGTCTGTGAACACAAGACTGAGGTAATACTATACAGAAACAACACAGTCTCGTACACAAGACAGCTGAGTGTTGGCCTGACAGCTGGATGGACAGCGCTTGGGATTCATAGTCCTAAGCTTCCAAGTTCGATTACCGGTGGAGGCGTAAACAAATGGGCAGTTTCTTTCACCCTGATTCCCCTGTTAACCTAGCAGTAACTAGGTACCTCGGAGTTAGACAGTTGCTACAGGCTGCCTCCTGGGGGGTGTGTAGCTAAAAGGAGGACTGGTAGAGGACCGGGCCGTGGGGGACGCTAAGCCCTGAAATCATCTTAAGATAACCTCAAGGTAAGACAAGACAGCCCTGGAAACACATGACTGGGAGACATGACCATCACCCACAATTCCCAAGGGGAACAGACATGGCAGAAAAGATGAATGAAGTAATACGATTGGTACCCCCCCCCATAATGGGACACAGTACCTAAAGGAGCAACAGACACGAAAAAGAACACGTCCATAGGCAGAGTAGTACGGAAAGGGAATTCAGGAGGCAGTGATGAGGTGGAGGCTGCAAATGCAGGCGCTCAAGAAGCTCAGAAATGTGTACACCAGTAGAATAATGGGTGAGAGGCAAGCCCAAGGGGCCGAAGTGCAACCCCCGCAAGCACAACTAGAAGAGCACAAAGAGGCGAGTACAAACTTACCAAAACTACAGACAACACATCGGCAGAGATGAGGAAAGAACACACCAATTCACGTACCTCCCCACCCATTTCATAGCAGACTTAACACACACCCGAGACATTCCACATGTAAATGAACAACTGAATAACCAGTAAGTACAATGGTACATTAACTAAATGAAAAATGCTCCATAAAGCAGGAAAGGAATGATAAACTTTCAACTGCCCAATCGCCATATGCAAGGAGTGGATGACAACAAATCACAGCTGTGAGATAATGCGCCATGACCGGTGTGCCACCCTGGTGGCCAGTCACGGCAACACAAAACAACACACTTGGACCCAAGGTTCACAATCTGTATAGCAAAATTCTTGCTAAATTACAATGAAACTTCAGATCGAAAAGAAGGGAAGAGCAGGGGTACCAAAAGTACCAGAAAATAAACACATTCATTTTTCGTTTTTTCCCCCAGTACCAAACATCCAAGCAAAAGACGGGTGCGTCCGATGCGAGGGTGCATAAATCACTCTGGCAAATATGGTAATACTAATACAGAAGGGGAAGGAGGGGCAAAAACCCCCTCCCCTGCAGCAACAACCCTTGCCCAGATGGCACAGGGGCAAAACGAGTCCAAGCGCTCCGAGCCTCAAGAGCCCCTGACGCAGGCCATGGGGCAGAGACCTCTTCCGCGCCCACCACCCCTGAATAAAAGGCTGTGTTGAGGGTCAAACCTTCCAAGAAGGGCGTCTGCTGGGTTGACTCAGAAGCCTCGGCAGGAAAATTAGGCTCAACCACCTCTACACCCGGATTGGAGGGGGGGCAGCACCCGAATCGGAGGGGGCAGCCCCTAAAGCCACCTGAGGCTCATCCCAAGCTAAACCCCGCCCCAACTCTGAAACCCTCAGATGTTCGGGAGCTGGAAGCAGAGGAGGAATGGAAAAGGAGCAAGGCACACCATGCCCACCTGAGAAGGAAGCAGGGGTGCAGAAGGAACTAAGGTCAAAGCGACCAACGCCCCCTAATCCTGGTCCCTAAAACCAAAGCGACTAGGGGCTTCCAATTGGCCAATCAACCTGGCTTGTTGCAGTATGGAGAATCGAGCATGCAATGCAGCCGCTGCCTAACCCTTGAGATCAACAGACAAGGAATGAGTAAACTGAAGTACAAGCGGAGAACAAGACCCGCAAGACTCCGGGTCAGTGGTGTCCCTGACCCAACAGGCAGTGTGACGGAGGCATTATAGATAATCATTATCCTGAAGTCGTAGCAACAAACCACCTTCAACTTTGCACAAGGCGAGAGTGAGCTCAGAAGACATAGCCATGAGAAGTACAACAGAGATCACAGGGGTTTTCCAGGGTCTGTAGGGTGAATTAGCCCTACGAGAAACCCAGGCACTGGGGCCAGCTAAGCCGGTAGAACCGCTGTCAAGTAGCAGGCAAACTGACCACCAGTAGCAGCTATGAAACCTCAGGGGGCAACAGAGAAGGACTACCAACATAATCTAGGCTGGCCTAATAAGAAGCTAAGCAGACCTCGGTCTAAACAGGGTCAAAATGCCGAGAAAGAAAAGAAAACAAAAACCAAAACCCCCAAAGACACACAACAAACAAACTGGCAGTCAGAGAGAAACATCACCCACTTCATTGAAGTAAAGCTAGCTGCACCAACTGCAGTGCTGGCGCAGTCAATAACACTCCCCTACCTGGGACAAGACGGAAAGCCCTAGATCCCCAACAACATCAAGCGATGAAGTCCTCAAATGGGGAGCGATTCCAGAATGCCCCAGGGAAGATAGCCCTGACACGCAAGAGCAGTACTCATGGAGCACCTAGGGAAGGTCACCCTAGGTGCATGATGCTCCTGTACACTAAGATACCTGGCCACTACACTACACACAGCTGGACCAGTCACACATGGCAAAAATCCAGAACTGTTACATGAGACCAGAGGTGACTGATCTGACTGCCAGCACATCAGTTCAAGAACTGGAGTGGTGGGTGGCCAGCTCCTCCTCGTAGCGCTAATTAACGGGAGTGCTAGTTGCATGAAGTGTTGCTTGTTGGGTTTCTTTTTAGGAAAGTTATTTTGACCTTTTAGTATGTTGATTGCACAGGTTAACCAGACAGTGGTCTGATTTGATTCGCCTACCTTTCTGGGTTCTTCCCCGGTCGATGGCAATTATGACATACTTTAACTGTAAAGTGCTCATAGACCATTGCTCCCTGCGCCTCTCCGAGGCAGCTAGGTTCTGGTGTGTGGATCCCTTTAGACATAATGACTCCTGTGACTGATGACCCCCAAATTAATATAGCACATATCAGTTCAGATAACTTCTGGGAGCCGATGGGGCTCCCCACAGAAAATTGCGAGTTCAAATAAACGAACTTTGTTTTATAATTTCTTTAGAGGCTGATATAATATTGATTTTGATTATAAAATATCCTTAACTAACACAAATACACTTGTACATCAGAACTTACTTACCATCACTATTCAGTGAGCGAATATCATGAGAACCTTTCCTGAGGGATTTGATTGAGCCACGAGGATGAAAATGGTCCGCATGAGAAAATTCTAGTCGATCAAGTGCATGAGTGTCACTCATGTACACATAGTATTCATTTTTTCTGGGGATAAAATATTAACAGCAATTAAATATCTTAAATAAAGTCCTCCACATACGATAAATAAATAAATATTAACAAAGAACTTATATTAAATACAGTTTTTCAGTGAATGAATTTAATTTGAAGCACATGTTTAAGTATCCTGTATAGAAGCCAAATGTACACTGTTAGTCTCAAGAAATCATTAATTTGAAATGTGTAAAGGGGAGGAATTTTCCGAGTTAAACATTTGGTTGCCTTATTAGGCACAATCCAGTTCGTTGGAAGAAGAGGACCAAACATAGCTAGGGCGGTTCAACATTTTGATCCAGCACAGAAGGGGGTCTTTTTAAGCACTTCTCCTAGGTCATACTAGGACAAGGGAGGCACTAGGAAAACAATCCAGTTGGAATGGCCTCCAGAAGGCCACTGTAATATGTTTGCACTCAATTACAGTGCAAACTTCAAATGCCAGACTGTCATTCAAGACAGTCCAACTAACTCAGAAGAGAGTGATTCTGACTAACTTGAATAATAATTACATAAGTGTAGTTACAGGATGAGAGCTATGCTTGTGTCCCATCTTCCCAGTGCTGTTTATTATATAATGCTTTGAAACTACCGACGGTTTTGGCCTCCATCACCTTCTCACTTAGCCTGTTCCAACCGTCCACAACTCTGTTTGCAAAAGAAAACTTTATAATAATTTTTCGGCACCTTTGTTTCCTTAGCTTGAAGCCGTGTCCTCTTGTTCGTGAAGCTGCTGGTTTCAGGAATTCCTCTTTGTCAATTTGGTTGATTCCGGTTAGTATTTTGTAAGTGGTGATTATATCACCTCTTTCTTCTATCTTCTAGCTTAGGCATGTTTAACATCTTTAGTCTCTCTTTGTAACTCTTGTTTTTCAGTTCTGGAAGTCATTTTGTAGCTTGCTGTTGCACCTTTTCCAGTTTATTTATGTGCTTCTTGAGATTTGGGCACAATGCTGCATATTCCAATTTTGGTTTCACAAAAGTCATAAACAGTTTCTTTAGTATTTCACCATCCATATACTGTACTGAAATTAAAAGCAAGTCTGAAGTTGTAAAGTGATATATATGCTCCTCTCACAATGTACTCTGTGTGTTCCTCTGGCAACAGCTTACTATCCAAAACCACTCCTAGGTCTGGTTCTTTAGTAGTTCTGTAATTCTTTTCCACATAATTTGTAAGTTGTGTAGGGTCTATTTTTTCCAATTCCACATTCCATAACATGGCATTTATTCACATTGAATTCCATTTACCATGTGATGCTCCAAGCACTTTTTTCTTATCTGGATCAATTTGAAGGACATTACAATTGTCTGCATCTCCTATCTTCCCCAGCATCTTAGCATCATCAGCAAACATGTTCATATAATTCTGTTTTCCTTCTGGTAGACTGTTTATGTAGACAATGAATATTAGAGTACTGGTACAAGAACTGAACCTTGTGGTACTCTGCTAGTAACGCTCCTCCGTCAGATACATTGTCTCAGATTACTGCCCTCATCTGTCTGTCAGTTAGAAAATTTTTCATCCATGTCAGAACCTTCCCTGTTACCTTTCCAGCATGTTTCAGTTTCCAGAACAGCCTCTTGTGTGGGACTATCAAAACCCTTTTTTAGGTCCTGATAGACACAGTAAACCCAACCACCTCTTTCCTGTAGTATCTCTGTGGCTCTAATATAAAAACTAAGATTTGTTACACAAGATCTTCCTGTTCGAAAAAAATACTGTCAGTCCATTATGTCGTTACTCTCTAGGTGTTCAACCCATTTGGCTTTAACCCTTAAACAGCGCAATTCATACATACAGTGGCACCTCAACATACGATTGCCCCTACTTACGATAATTTCGAGTTACGATATAAATTTCATAAAAAAATGCGACTCGATATCCGATGGTGTCGTCGACATCCGATGGTGTCGTCGACATCCGATGGTGTCGTCGACATCCGATGGTGTCGTCGACATCCGATGGTGTCGTTGACATCCGATATTTGCTGGTACACGTTCGGGTCGACTGAGCGCGTGGTTCCCGGTCACGCGGCCGATTTGCCTCGGTTTACTACAGCTGCTCGCTTAGTGACGATCGCGCCTATAAGAAATTCCGCTTTTGTGGTGATTTTTTGCATTTTGTTCATTAAAGTAATTATTATATATCATGCCATGAGTCCCAGGAAAGTCAGTGGTAAGGCTGAACATATGAGATCCCATGTAAAAATGACCATTGAACATAAACAAGAGATCATTCATAAATATGAAGATGGTGTGAACTGGAACTGGGTAGGTGAACTGGCTAGGCAGTACAACAAATCTCAGTCAACGATATCCACCATACTGCCTAAGAAAAAGGACATTATGAGTGCTAAAGTGGCAAAAGGCGTATCAATAATCACGAAACATAGAACACAAACACTTGAGGATGTTGAACAGTTATTATTAATTTGGATACTCAACAAGGAGTTAGCGGGTGATAGCGCTTCGGAGGCCATCATTTGTGAAAAGGCAAGAAAATTGCATGAAGACCTTTTAAAGAAAACCCCTGGAATGAGTGATGCAGAAGTGAAAGAGTTTAAGGCGAACAGGGGATGGTTTGAGAAATTTAGAAAAAGAAATGGAATTCATAGTATTGTGAGGCATGGGGAGGCTGCCAGCTCAGACAAACCAGTGGCTGAAAGATTCATTGGCGAATTTAAAGATTTTGTGCAGAGTGAGGCATACCTACCACAACAAGTGTTTAATTGTGACGAGACAGGGCTATTCTGGAAAAGATTGCCGAAGAAAACATACATTACCAGGGAGAAGTCATTGCCTGGACACAAGCCTATGAAAGATCGGTTTACTCTCGTGTTGTGTGGTAATGCGAGTGGCGATTTGACAGCTGAGGAAATGTCTTCAGGGGAGGATGTGCCAGTAGAGAATGTTTCTTCCTCAAAAATTAAGAAAATGTGTGCATAATGGGAAGAATTGCAAACCTTTGCTGAAACGACTCACCCAAATCAAGCTGCAGTAGGTCATTGCCTTAACCCTTACACTGCTCAGGGGTCCTTGGGACATTTACACCCCTGTGCGCAAGAAAAAAAAAATTCAAAAATTTTTTTTCGTCTTCTAAACATGTTAATTTGTGTCCCCTGAGCACGGAAAAAATAAAAAAAAAATCGTAGGTGACATATTTTGGGTGCAATTGACCGAGGAAGTCTGGCAAAAAGTGGGCGTTGACAGAGCGGTTGTCAGACCCGGTCAGCGTCACCCGTGTTGACAGATGGGTGTTGCCACAAAGATATTATTACCTAATTCTTTCAATGTCTCCGATTGATTTTTTCTTAGTTTTTTTGCAGTAATATTATTCAATAGTGTGTATTGTAATATATTTATATAATAAAAGTGGTTAATAATCGCTATACTCAAAAGTATGATGTGCATATTAGTGATTCAATTATTATGTTTATAAAACTATAAACAAATAGTTTTGCTGCTATTACACTCTATACACAGGTTATATATAAGTATTGGCATGTTTTGGTCACCATAACGAACCACTAAGTTGGTATTGAGAGTCGAAAAGCAACGAGGAGTTACCACCACACACCAGCCAGCCACTCGCTGCCACTCCCTCAACACACGCACTAAACTTTCTCCCCCAACAATACCAGTTGTGGTGTTATTACACTATATACAGACGTTATATATAAGTATGTGTATATTTTGTTCACCACAACTGTACAGCTAAGCTGATATAGTTAGTTCAGGCACTAAGAGTCGTCGCTATACACAGCTGGCGGCTCCCTCACTCATTCAAGGTCACATGCACTAATCTTTCTCCCCCAACAATACTGCTTGCAGTGTTATTACCCCATATACACATTATATATAAGTATCTACATGTTTTATGCACCGTAACTGTACACTTAAGCTTGTAGAGCGCCCAAAGAGCATAGTGGCCACCCTCTAAACAGCTAGACAAATCGTGCAGACGACGTCACCTCTGTCACCCAAATGGCTCCTCCTAGCATAATCCTTTTGCTGTTATTACACTAATACACACATTATATATAAGTATCTACATTTGTGTTCACCATAGAGAACCACTGAGCTGGTATGGTGAATGCAAACAATAACAGGTGGCCACACACAGTCAGTAAATGATGCTGTCTCCCTCCGTCTCTCAGCATCACTCCTCCCACAGCGCTAATTATTACAACAATCCTGCTATTATCACAACCCTGGTTATTTATATCACAGTCAGGGGTCATCTGTAATATTGTCATCGCTAAATAATAACAATTATATATTTATTTTGACATTTTTCGGCGATGCTGTGGTCACAAGCTGAACAGCAATGCTGTTCGCCCATGCTGCGTGCGCCAGCTTTGGTTGCTCCAACAGTACTGTGCCTCTCACACCTGAGAATATTGCCCACGATTTTTTTAAAAAGTGGCGTCTGTTTACAAGAGCCCTGAGGAACGTAATGTGAACCCCGTGTAGCCGCGGGCCATTTGAATCGGGCCTGGCACCCTATGGCGTATATATACGCCATGCGCACTGTGGGACATGTTACTCAGGGCGTGTATATACGCCGTGCGCAGTTTAAGGGTTAACTACTCTGACACTGAAAAAGTTATTTCTAACATCCCTGTGACTCATTTGGGTACTCAGTTTTCACCTGTGTCCCCTTGTTCGCATACCACCTATGTTAAACAGTTTATCTTTATCTACCCTGTCAATTCTTTGAGAATTTTGTAGGTAGTGATCATGTCTCCCCTTACTCTTTTGTCTTCAAGTGTTGTGAGGTGCATTTCCCGCAGCCTTTCTTTGTAACTCATGCCTCTTAGTTCTGGGACTAGCCTAGTGGCATATCTCTGAACTTTTTCAAGCTTCGCCTTGTGCTTGACAGGGTATGGACTCCATGCTGGGGCCGCATACTCCAGTATTAGCCTTACATATGTGGTATACAAGGTTCTGAATGATTCCTTACACAGGTTCCTGAAGGCAGTTCTGAT